ATTTCGAAACTTTGTGTACTGTTGTTTCTGATGTTTTTGTGTAATACTGTTGAGGACATTTGTGTTGTTTTCTTGCTAAAAAATATTTATAACATCTCAGTGGTATGGTGGCACAGTGCTTAGCCTTTCAGTCTTGCAGTACTTGGGCCCAGGTTCAATTCCCAGGCTGCAACCTGTGTGGAGTTTGTGTGTGCTCCCCATGATCACAAGGGGTTTCCTCAGGGTGCTCAAGTTTCCTCACACAGTCCAAGTACATACTGGTAGGCTAACTGGCCTCTAAGAAAACTGGCCCTGGTGTGTGTGTCTGTCTGTGTATGTGTCTGTCTGTCTGTCTGTCTGCCTGCCCTGGCTTAGGCTCCTAAACGATTGTGAATTGGATGACATGGTTAGTAAATGCACGGATGGATAAATGTCCAAAATAAAGCAAAAGAAAGTCATATATCTAATTTCACTGGTTTCAAAAGTATATGTTGCTATCAATAAATGCAATGTGTACAAAAATAAAAGGCTAAAATGGCCCAAAGTCTTATCACCAATAAATGAAGGTGACCTTCACCAGGAGTAAGCAGCTTTGGATAAATATTCTTGTTTCTAAACTCAAACAATTTGGCCTAAATATAATTACTTATGTCAAGTTTTCTAGTTTATCAATGCTTTCAGTGCCCCGTGACTTTTCTTTTACAGCCCAATTTAAAATGACAGATAAAAAGCCAAATATGTCAGTTTTAAGACCTAGCTACTGTATTTCAGCTGTCTCCACTGAGAAATCAGTAGTTTGTTTTAGAATCGACTCTCATTCTGAGTCTCACTCAAAACAATGCAGGTCATGTCAGAAGTGACAATGTAATTTATCATAAGAAGCAATTAGGGCATTAAAGTAATAATGTTTTTTTTTTCTTATTGCATTGCTTGCCTATTATGTGTTCTGGGAGACTCTGTTTCTGCTGGGAAAGTGTCATGGTAAAAATAGCCTTTTACAGCAGGTGGCAAAGAAACATAAATGGGAAAAAAATCAGTGTGGCACAGTGCCTGTAAAAACCATTGTTGAAACATTATGCTGTCAGGTATGTGGAACAGCAATATGCTTCCCCCTGTCATTTCCTCTCTGCAGTGTGTTAGTTATTTTTACAAAAGCCTGTTTTTTGCTGAAGCACTGAATTGGAATGGCAACCCACAATCTCACACATCACATGACAATCTACAACAGAATAAAAGGAAAGAAAAAATAACAGCAATTATAAAAACCTGTATATAACTCAATAATGTAATGTCATATACTAGCATTGAAGGACACAATTTTAGAATTATAAAGAAGAATACAAGTTTTCCTTTGCATAGTACTGTATAAGGTTTATCAATCTTAAAAAACATTGTGTAAAATCAGCATGTAAACTACAGATTCATCATGGTTTTCAATGCAAGTTGACTCTGCCAGTGCCCTAAACCTTGTAATGTTTTTCCTAAGGATTCAGACCATTTTGTTCACATAGTGAACTCATCCCAACACATTCTTAGAGTTCTATAGCTCCAAGATTGACAACATCCGGCATCACATCCCATCTATAACACATAACCTCCACACCCCCTTCCTGCTTGTTTTGCTGGTTCCCTCTACTTGACACAACATGCCTTCATAAATTGGTATTGTATAAGAAATGCACCACGTGTCTGTTAGATTCAATTCCCACGGTCTTCTTTCAGTCCTGTTTCTCTACTCTCTTGCCTATAGTCCTCAACATAATAAATGAGTCCTTGAGTACTGGTGTGGTACCAACTGCATCCAAAACTGATGGAGTTACCCTATGCCTAAAAAAAGCAAATATGCCTTAGACTAAGAATATACTCTCACCCTAACCCTAACCTAAACAATTTTCACCCTATATCTAACCTACCATTTCTTGCAAAAAGTTTGGAATGTGCTGTTACAATTCAGTTAAACAGCCATCTCATCCTCTTCAAACCCTTCCAATCTGGTTTCAGACAACTACACAGCACATAAACTGCCCTGGTAGGCACTAATGATCTTCTTATGGCTCCTGATTTGATTTCTCTTTCTCTTATTCTTCTTGACCTCAGTGCTGCTTTTGACACTATTAACCACAATATCTTACTTTCTCAACTTGAGACTGTGTTTGGAGTCTTTCCTCACTGTTCACTGTCACAGTCTCTCTTGGCAGCTTCAGTTTTAAATTTGGACTCGTTATGTCTGGTGTTTGTCAGATATCTATACTGGACCCCCTACTCTTCAGCATTTGTTCCCATTTGGTCAGCTATTAAGATCACATGGTCTAATTGATCATTTCTATGCTGATGATTTGAGAATCTATGTCCCTATGAAACCGGACCCTGAAGTTGCTGTCTCTGCTCTCTAATTGCCTCTCTGACATAAAAACATAGATAACTCAAAATTTCCATCATTTAAACTGTGACTAGACTGAAGTCATGCTTCTCGGCACCCCCCATTAATTTTGTACAGTCAAGGTAGTAACCCTATCTGTGGATGGCACTCTAATTGAGGTGATATTTGATCCAGGCTTCACATTTGACCTACAGTAAATGTGCAACATATTGTCAAAACATTTTCACCTCAGAAATATTGCCAGACTACATCCTGAAAAGCTGGTAAACACTTTTGCTTTCTGAATTGATAACTTTGGTACCCTGCTCACTGGGGCATCTAAATTCACCTAGAACAAACTATGGTATGTCCATAATTCTGCAGCCAGAATCCTGACCAGGTCTAGTGCAGGTGATAATAATAACAACAATAATAATAATAGTCAGTATCCAAGGTCAGTACCTGGATGGGAGACTCCTGGGAAAAACGATGTCCTTCAGATGAGATGTCAAACCAAAGTGTTTACTGTGTTGGTGACACAGCAACAGTGTGTCGTAAAATAAGAAAAGTGGTGTCTGTAAGAAAAGTTTCTGCATGCATTCATAAAGTTCCCCACTCATACATTAGTGAAAAACATCAAACGGGATGTTTCAGGAAATACGTGGCAATACATTCGTTTCATATATAATTTTATCCATTGTACATATAGCTTCTCTCTCTCTCTTTCCTAGCTTGTCGGCACACCAGTCTCCATTTGGTGGTTTGAACCAAATCTTTGAGCTGCCGCCTGCCATCGGAGTGTGAAGGGGGGGGGGAGAACAAAGTAATGTAGCCAATTCATAGAGGGGGATTATTAGGAGGCATGGGAAATTTGGCCAAGATGCCGGGGCTACACCCCTACTCTTTTCGAGAAACACCCTGGGATTTTTAATGACCGCAGAGAGTCAGGACCTCGGTTTTAAGTCTCATCTGAAGGAAGGCACTTATTTACAGGATAGTGTCCCCGTCATTAGGATACACATACACCCCCCCACACACACACACCTACCAACTAATACTTTGTGGAAGCACATTTCAGAATCACAGTAGACAGGAGCCTATCCCGGGAAGTAAGGCAGGATACACCATCGATAGATCTGTCACGGGGGACATACTGACACAAACATGCCACACACTCAAACAAAGGTCACTTTTACGAAAGCCACTAAACCAACCAGCATGTCTTCAGACTGTGAAAGGAAGCCCACTTGAACATGGGGCAGGCATGCAAATTCCAGGAAATGAACCCAGGGCTCCAGTGCAACAAGGCAATACTAACCACTGTACCACTGTGATTCTTCCCTCTTAAATTATGATTTAAAATTAATTATGTGCTACCCTGACCATCTTTGCCATCTGTACTTGCCTTGAATGTCCATCCTGCCTCAATACCTGTTGCAGCTATTTCTATTTTTTATTTTTTTTTATTTTATGTTGTAATTGCAGAATCTATCATATTAATGAAAAGCAGAAAGAGCAAAGGAACTAAGATTACTGTGGTACATTAATGTTTACACCAGCCGAATTAGAGGCCTTCGCCCTTAAGATGACCCACTTTTTCCTGTTTCTTAACCATTTCTCAATCTGTTGGCATGTATTACCTTGGATTCCTGTGACATTTAAATTGAGAATGAACCTTTTATGACTGAATATATTAAATGCTTTCTGAAAATGTTCATGTTGTAACGAAAAGTGTTCTTTCTGGACCCTATAAGGACAACACAATTCGGGATTGAGTGAGAATACACAAGGGAAAAAAGGCATGCAGGAAGTGGGGATGAAAACAGGGGGGCGTGTCCATGAAGTGCTGGTGGTCGAGGCAAACGATCAAAAACAGAGTCCAATGCGAAATCCAGGACGAAAGCAAAAGGTCCAAAGCTGGGCGGTCCATCCGAGACTGACGGTTAAAAACGGGAACCTGGTCGGAACCAGCAGGGGGAACGGGAACAGAAACAGAAACTTAAAACCATAACGGAGCCAGGCACATCCAGGTCCCGGGCTAGCATGATACGGAAACCAATGCAGAGCCCCGAACTGAGTGGGCTTCTGGCTTTTAAGGGGGGCTGGAACAAGGGGCAAGTGCACTAAATCAGGTCCGAAGTGAAAGAGTCGGAGAGCCCTTAAGGGGGAGGGACTACAATCGTGACACGTGTCTGTGAATAACATCCCTCATTTCTGTATGATCGGGAAAATACCATCAGGTCAAAGTAATGTATTAGTTGTAAGATGCATTAGCCCCAACAGAACCTCATTACCTGTTAGGCTAAAAATACCAATGTTCTATAACATTGACCTTTTGTAGTAAAAACCTCTGTAAAATAATGTTATTTCTCCTGATGTGACTTTCAGTATCATTCTCCTGACATTGAATATCTTTTGTTCAAATATGGAATGTTATCTGTGTAATTTCTAATCAAAAAGTAAGATTATTAAAAACATTAGAGACAGGTTATTTGAGCAACGGTGTTCTCTGGATGTTATCATCTGGTAAGGTCTTTTAGGGGTCACAGTACTCCTTTTCTTGATCTGTTCTGTTAGCATTTGTTGGATTTTGCTATCCACTTTTGAAGTAAATTCCCAGCATCAGTTCTAAAAAAGCTGTTGCCTGTTTTTGCTACTCTAGATGATAAAGGCAACTTCCCCTCTTGGTGATCCCAGAGTCACCTATAATCTGGAGGAGGGTCAGGTCCCAGAAACCAACATGCCTGTGAGATTCTACATCAAGCCCAACCGACAGGAAGGATCAGCCTCCATTCTCGTGGCAGAGCCTCTGGACTATGAGACCACAAGGTTCTTCACATTGCGAGTCAGGGTGCAGAATGTAGCTGCTGTTCCACTGGCCTCCTTCACCACTGTCTATGTCAATGTCACAGGTAAGACCCAAGAAAGCAACACCACCTTCCTGCTGCCTCTCATTTGTTGCTGTTTGAAAAAAAAATGCTTCTGTTCAAACAGAATTATAACAGCGACTTGGAGAAACTGGGATAGGAACAATTGAGAAGACACAACACTTGAAAAATTAATTTTGGTTAAGTAGAAATGGATATATAATTAAAAGAAAAAAACAACAACTATTGGAGCTCACCAGATTTACTGTAATCAGTGCCATATACAGTAGTTAACACTACAGTGATGTGAACACTTCATTCCCCTTTTGGCTGGTGATACTTAGTTTTACTCATTCATCTCCTTTTAAATTTCTGAACCCAATAAGCATAGCAGTTAGTTTTCTTAGGTTTACCTTATTTGATGCTAATGATCATTGCTGTTATTTTTGATGTTTCGACCACACTATGATGACATTTGGAAAATTATAATTACTAGTAATGTATTCATTTGATATTTCTGTGTTCTGTATCTCCTTCCCTGTAGATGTCAACGACAATGTCCCTTTCTTCATGTCTTCAACCTACGAGGCAACGGTACAGGAGGGAGCTGAAATTGGGACATCTGTAGCCCAGGTCTCAGCCACAGACCTGGACTCAGGGCTTCATGGCATGGTAAAAACCTGAGAGTTCAGACCTTTAGCTTTTCTACAAAAAGTGTAACATCGCCCTTTCCTATCTTATTGAAAGCTATTGATTACCCAGGCCCAATTCTTTATGGATTAACCTGTGGTACAGAGGTAACTTGGAGCCTTTCACATTACTAACTATTTTATTTCAATCCATTTCATTCCCTGCATATTTTCATCTCTGTAACAAATGAAAACAGTCAATCATAACTTAATTGTGGAATCTTTCCAAGGTGAAATAGTTTAAAATTATTTTGTTTTGTGTAAATCACCAAGCAAATGTGCTTTCCTCTTTCACCTCCAAGTTTGTCAGACTGTTGCACACAACCTTTTACCTCCCTTCATATAATATCAACAGTAGTTGTCAGTCTTAACGTAATTAGTTTGTGATTAATTTAAGCTTTTTTTTTCATATCCAGCAAATATTTCATAAACAGACCTCATAATTAGGTGAGGGCTATAAAATGCAAGTAAAGGCAGTCACAAAAAATGTTGTGGCCATTAGGTTTAGAGCAAAGCTTGGAACAGTTTTGGAACAGTTTTTTTGTGTTTTATTTCATAAGCAATAAGGTGGACCTGCTAAAAGACACTGTTCCCTTTCACAGATTCTGATTTCAGGGTTTGAATTTAAAATAAATGGGCTTTAGTTAAAAATAAATGCTACTACTTTTCTAATGTCTGTTTTTGGTGCATATTATCTATGGAAGCCTGCAAGACCACAGAAATGTCAAATATACTATTCCAGTTTTAGAACTTTGAAATTGTTCATACTTAGGACATCAAATACTGGAGAACTAAGTGTTCTTCAGATATTTTGGTATAAGAACTCCAAAGCTCAAACAAATGAAAATGGGCGTTATTGACGGTTTTTCACTCTTAAAATCAAAATCGCTTTCAGGACTATGCATTTGAAGTTCTTATAGGTAAATAACCATGCCTACATTTCTCTACAATGTTATTCTCTAGATAAACTATATCATCCTAAAGGATCACAGTGGGGATTCCCAGGTGTTCAGCATTAACCCTCAGACTGGGGTGATATATACCCGGGCCTCATTTGACAGGGAGCAGAAAAGCTCATACCTGATTGAAGTCCAGTCACAGGACAGCTCTGAATCTGCTCGGCCAGGACAGCGGGGACAGCCGAACACAGGTGTGTCTCACAGAGCCTACACAGGAGCAGAGCCTTTCTAATGGCTTCTTCTTGTCTTGCACACACTCCAATGTGCTGTTTCTTAACAAACAGTTACTGAAAGTATAGTGGTTATTTATTTGATGATCTTGAAAGTTTACAGTGAATGTATTAGAATTTATAATACTTTTGCTGTGCTGCATGCACATAAAATTGGGTGACCTGGTCAAACACCTGTGTAGAGGGAAGTATGCACTGCAGAGCAATACATGTATGTATACTTGACAATGGCATTATGAGGCACATGCAGTCCAATCCCCATTTGTGTCCGTGATGACTTGCATTTTATTCTCTAGTGGATATGGATTATATTACCTGATTTGTACTCTGCACAACCCATGAGAAATATAATTATCTTACTACAGTTGTTTGACTAGGGTAACTAACTGTAAGACCCTGTATTTTTACATTTATTTATATCTTTATCCTAAAGTTAGTATAAAGTTTAAGTTTTTACAGAGCAATCTAAACACAAGAAACCCTGAAGGCCTTTATTCTGTGATTATCCCATTAGTCTGTTCATGCTGGTGGATTAGAAGATATCTGCTATATCATTATTAATGTAAATTATCTTAAACTATTATTAAATGTCTTTCATCTTTTAAAATGGTGGTACACACATACAGTGGTGTGAAAAAGTATTTACCCCCTTCCTGATTTCTGATTTTTTTGCATGTTTGTCACACTGAAATGTTTCAAATCATCAAACAAATTGAAATATTAGATAAAGATAACACAAGTAAAAACAAAATGCAGTTTTAAAATGAAGGTTTTTATTATTAAGGGGAAAAAAATCCAAACCTACATGGCCCTGTGTGAAAAACTGATTGCCCCCCCTGTTAAAACATAAATCAACTGTGGTTTATCACATCTTTGGAAAGCTGAGTTCA